GAATTCGAGCTGTTGTTTTTTTTTCTTCTACTGCGCTAATCAAATGATTTTTTTCTTCAGCCGAGCCACACTTTCCACTGCTGTATCTCACTTCAACGAAGAGTTATATTTGTTTTTTTTTTCCTTTGAAACAAACGGCTGCTAATATTTTTGCTTACTGTTTAATATTTTGGACTTTTCCTTGCCTTTTAACAATTTGTTTTCTATTAAGAAATATTGCAATTGAATGCTGTAACTTTTATTTTTTCGTTCGATGATTTTCAACGACAGCAACGACGACGAAAGAACAATGGCGACGAACAAATGACGATGAAGAAAATTCACTAGCATTCGCTCGCTTCCACGCAATCAATTTAATTTTGTTGTCTCGCTCGCACACACAAAATAGCACAATTTTCTGACACATCAGTTGAACGAGTGGAGTAGTCGGAGTATCGATATTGATAAATATTGGTCTAATGGTTGCCACAATACGCTGCGTTTACATAAGACAATTTGACACAACACAATTGAGAATATCTGGCCAAAGCAAAGGTAAATTTATATATATATATATATAGATTTACGTTCTTTGGTAACGAGGTGTCGCGTCGTATAGATTTACGTTCTTTGTTATACATTTTCGTTCTTTGTCAAAAAGAATATACAGTCAGTCCATAAAGTTTAGGTACAGCGATTTTTTTACAATACGGGCAACTATTTTTTAGATATTTTAATTTTAATTAATTTTGTATAAAAATATGGTCAATTCTACAACAAAAAACCCAAAAATCAGAGTTCCAAATCTTGTGCAAAATTAAAGAAAATTTGAAAAAAAATTTCATTCAAATATTGCACTTTTTATTTACGCTCTCTAGAAAAAATTTGAGTACGCAGTTTTTTAGCGCATTCAATTTTAGTATAATAAAATGCAAGTATGAGGAAGCTAGGACTTACCATTGATTTTTGGGAAATTTTTTTGTTGAAGGTGTCGCACATTTTTTCCATATAAAAAAATTATCAAACATTATTTTATATGGAGAAAATGAGCGACACCTTCAACAAAAAAAATTCATAAAAATCAATGTTAAGTCCTAGCCACCACAAACTTGCACTTTGTTATATTAAAATTTAGTGGGCTAAAAAACTGCATACTCAACTTCTTTCTAGAGAGCGTAAATAAAAAGTGCAATATTTGAATGAAATTTTGCCAAATTTTCTTTAATTTTACACAAGGTTTGGAACTCTGATTTTTGGGTTTTTTGTTGTAGAATTGATCATATTTTTATACAAAATTATCGAAAAATAAAATATTTAAGAAATAGTTGCCCGTATTGTAAAAAAATCACTGTACCTAAACTTTATTGACTGACTGTAGTTGTGGCCACCATTAGACCAATATTTATCGATATCGATACTCCGATACAGTGTATACGTTGCACTGCTATACCATTTGCTCCAGCATTTGCTTAAAGGTAAATAAAGCTCTGCGTACATTTTTAGCGCAAATCTCAAATATTACAAATTTTGAGTTGTGACTCTTTTGAAGACGGTGTGCAATATGTACAGATTTATGCAGGTCGAAAAATCTTGACATTGAACAAACATAATTCGCATCAAAATTTCCTTTTCCGTATACAGATTTTCTTTTAATATACATACATATCGTCGTTTAGGGCCGGTTGTTCAATGTCTGGTTATCACTACTTGCCGGTTAACCATCATTATCATATCAGTACAAAACCGCGTATTGTCGTTGCGCAAAACCTTGTTTGCCAAAAATTGGATTTGCTCACACAAGCTCTTGGCTCAATCCTTCCTGAAACATACTAACCAAAAATGCGATTGCTTTATAAAAAAAATAACCATTTTGAAATGTGAGTGTTTTTACTCTCTAGAAAATAATTTATGGAACCTCACATACGCGATATTGCATTTTGTTGATACGCGGTTTTGTAGTTTAAACGACGATATGTACATATCTAATATATATAAACGCCTTAATTTGGTTATTTATATATTTTATTTAAATATCAGTGTGACTTTGAGTAAGAACATATTAGTAATACATGTTCATTAATAATTATGTCTACAATAACTTTACAAGCACTTTAACAAATACTAATTACTTTTCTTAAATGGGCAGAAAGGTATGCTGGGTAACATATCAATATAATGGAAAGGGGAAGCGGTGAAAAAAATTCGAAAACTGATGGATTGACCATCATAAACTCCAATATCCAATCATAGGTAGGATTATCCTTGCGCCTGAAACGTACTTAATTTTCGGAATAAACACATTTATTTAATGGAATGCATCGATGGCAGCAGTTTTTATTCCAGTGAGTTCAGCGTCAATAATTGTTTTAGCACCTTTGTTTGCGACGTTTCACGTATTTCTCCAGCTAAGAACATTTCATCTACTACCGTGTAAACTTTATAAAAGTTAAATACAAGGTCCAATTCACATACATTATGGAAGTACTCGTTAAGTACCTCCACAAAATTGTGTATCGCTTCAAGATAGCACAGATTGTTGTCGTTTACATCAACGCAGATACAGAAGTAGAGTCCGGCATATCGGCGGTACACAATCTTAAAGTTCCGAAACTGTGAATGAGAAAATATTAAATAATATACATACTAAGTATAATCTAGAGTAATTGGCAGTCTCAATTTCAATATATAAAAGACATTCCAAATAATTACACCGACCGAATACACATAAATTTGGGTTGGCCCCGAAACATTTCCCTCCCCACGCTCAGATTCGTGGGTACAGGTTAAGAAAGTTATATTATTTGAAAGTGTCAAAAGCCTGAATTTTATATTCATCACCTACCTCGACAAAATTTGTGTGTTTTGCATCCCGTACTGTCACCACTGCATGCACCTCTTCGATCAGCTTCTGCTTTTCGTCGTCATCAAAATTCATATACCACTTGGCCAAACGCGTCTTACCAGCACGATTTTGTATCAAAATGAACCGTATCTGCGAAAACAAATAATTACATCCAATTTCAATTTCTGAGGGGCGTTTCGCTGTTTGCTTACCATAGTTTTCAACAATTTTATTTTGCCTTTTCCCCAATACTCCAGCAAGCAAATTGGTCAAAATTGTGATAAAGAACCTCTCTGATTTTTTTGTATCATTACGCACAACAGGGTTGCCAATTCAGTGTTGCTTTTATTTTAACCCTTATGCGCATTGCTCAAACCAGTTCGTTCAAATCCGTGTGGATTCCTTGAAAGTGTCGGTCATGCAGTGATATAAACAATTTCTATCAGAATGACCCAGATCGAAACTATTCATTCATAAAATGTAAATAAGGATTTATCTATGCAGTGCATTGCTGATATTTTCAAGTGATTTAGGTTTTTCTTCGATTTATATCTAGTCCACAATAAATTTTAATCCTATACCTACAGAATGCAACTCTGCAGACCATGTAAACCATATGATCAATGTACCAAAATAGAATGAACTCAATCAACTAAATACTTGAATTTGCATTTCGTTGAAGGAAACAATGATAGTGTTATCAAGATTACGTGGATCGGCTCTCCGTGGTTTTCATAAGCACATATGGGTTAGAAATTGTTCATCAGCAGCAGCGGCAGCAACGCCAGAATCTAGCACCCTGACTGGAGTACATGATGCCCAGCAGGCACTAGCGCTCAAGGAGAACTGCATTTTGGTAGATCCGAATGATAACGCCATTGGCGCCAGCAGTAAAGCTGATTGTCATCGAGTGAATGGAGAGACTGGAGCGGTCAAATTACATCGTGCTTTCAGTGTCTTCCTTTTCAATTCTAAGGGAGAAATGCTTGTGCAACGCCGTTCCGTACACAAGGTAGCTTCATTTTTTGCCTTTGTTATTGGAGAGTTTATTTATATTATTTATTTTGTAGATTACATTCCCCGACACGTATACAAACGCTTGTTGTAGTCATCCACTGCACGACATTGAATTGGAGCGGGAAGAAGCTAATGCGATAGGAATACGAAGAGCAGCTCAGCGGCGGCTTAACTATGAGCTTGGCATTCCAACGGAACAAATTCAACCAGAAAACTTTCACTATTTGACGCGCATACATTACCACAACACAGGTGATGGTGTGTGGGGTGAACATGAAATCGATTATATACTTTTCCTGCAAAAGGATGTCGATCTCAATCCGAATGAGAATGAGGTCAGCGAAGTGCGCTTCGTAAAGCGTAATGAAATTGACAAGGCTGTGAACAAATTCGATGCTCCAATGACACCTTGGTTTAGACTGATCCTAAAGCATAAACTTAAGGAATGGTGGGATAATTTGCACCAATTAAAAAAGTTTGAAGATACAAAATTCATACATCGCTTCACCTAAGCAATGGAATATCTTTTCATCATCATCGAATAGGCGGCGGGAAACACCAAAGAAATTTTTGATCGGCACTTTGACTAGAGTGGTCTCCTGATTGTTAGTTTGCTTTAAGAAATAGAATTCATTAAAATTATCGTTACGGGATTAATAAAATAAGCCATTTAAGATTTCTCTTTTTTTGTTTATTTATGGTCGTAAGCATACATCTGTATATGTGTATGTATGTAAATAACAATAGAGTACAATAATGATCACATTTACTGTGTTACCATGCACATTGCTTTTGTCTTAAATGCTATTCATATAACTATCTTTTATGTATGTATGTTGTATGTTATTAGTTGGCGGAGCACAATAAACATTTCGCAGCACAACAACAAATAACGAACAAAATGAACTATAAATATTTACAGGTTTTGGCGTAAAAAATCTAATAAAATAGTAAAACAAATCAGCTGCAGCTTGACTTGTTCATTTTTCTCCTAGTTTCGAAGCACTAATTTGTATGCATAACTTAAGTTTGATCAACGGTTTAAGAAAAAGGCGGTGAAGCAGGCAGGCATAATGTCAATAAATAGTTTGCATATCAAACAAAATCTTCATTTAAGATTTACTGTAGTTAAGTGTTTATTACATACATAGTTGTATGTACGTTCATTTACATTTCACGGTTAGGGGGTTTTCCACGAGAAGGAACTCTGGTCGATTCCAACTAACTATATCCTCACCGAATATCCAGATTTAATTTGCAGTCTAAATAGTTTTACGTTCTTAAAAACAAAATATACTTTTTTATGTAGTTGCAACTAACACTAATAGGTCGACTTGTGTATTCGAATCTTCAGTTGATTTAATATGAGTATATTACGAATTTGCATGCGCTTTAAAAACACGTCGTTGTTAGTAGGTATACATATGTATGTGTAATATATAATAAATAAGTGTCGATTCGTTAATTACATAATTTTCTTTTTAGTAAAATATTTTTTTTTTATCGTTTGCTTTATTATCAGCCGTTTGCCGAATTTCGCACTTCATTTAAGGCACTTTTGAAGTCTTGTAGTTCATAGCGTATTAAGGAAATTTCACAAAACACTATATTACCACAAATAAAAATTTGGCACTTTCGTTTTGGATTCCTCTATATGCATAAATTCACTCCTTGTTTTATGGTTGGAAAGCATGTGCTTTAAGTGATATTTTGTCGCACTAAGCAATTGTATGACAGTCTACATAAGTAATATCACAGCCATTAACTTTTAGGATAGGCCAAAGAGTTTCAATGCATTGAATGCCGTAGCTAAAGCTACTTCTTCGGGCGTTTTCTTCATAAAAGCAGCTATCATTTCTACAATGGCGGGCAAACTACAAGGCTCGTTGCGTTGAAAGGTGCAGTACCTGAAAAATATCAGTCCATTGAAAGAATGATTCCTATGCAAATATCTGTCTGGTACATCTACCTATGTAAATATAAAAGCGAACGTTCCGTTATTCCAGTCTTAACATGTTGCGGCAGCTTGGAAGCTCTTGTATTTGGGTACATGAACGGCGAGTCCGTTTCGACGAGCAGTCTATCGATAGGAAGAATTCCATTTTCTAAGAGTTTGCGTACTCCACTATCTGATTTGTCCTGCAACGTAAAAAAAAAACAATTGCATTTAGTTGTTTTGTAAGTTTAATCTGTAAAATTATTGCCAATAATGCTGAATTTCCACTAGGCTTTAAATGCTAGAAAGTGTAATGTCAAAGTTGAGCCTTAAAAAAAAGAAGTGCCGTAACGTTCATGTTCATTTCCACATCTTTCAATGCCTAGTGGAAATTCGGCATAAAAGAAATTATCATCGGTTCACGTGATCCAAAGTTATCTTATAACCTACATAGGTATGTACATAAAAAAATATTCCGACGAATTGCTAAACTGATTTTTTTGTCGGATAAAAATTAATGCTTTAAAATATTTGTTTACCGAATAACTCGGATTTCTCTAAAATTTATCTTACCTTGCATAAATAACCAGTTAAACTGATATAGAATCTTCTATTTAGATATTTGACTGCTTCGTCGGCCGTTCCCATGAATCCTCTTATGATTATAGGTGGTAAAGTCTCGAATCTGTAAATTTAATCGCAGAGAAATGTTCATATCGATGGTCCTCTGCAATAACGACACAATTAAAAATTCAAAAAATAATATCCATTACTACTGTAGAGTGACTCATGTCTCTAATCCTAAATTTGCTTTAGTAATTCCTCCTATTTATATAATATATATAATTATAAGTTCTTATTTTTTGAATTTTGCCGTTATTGCAGAATACCATCGATTGTAGATACATATCACCGCTTGGCGTGCAGTTCCTCGTATAATAACAGTTGCGGATAAAAACTTACTTATCCAGGATATCGAGTACATCTTGTTGCGCGGATCGCTCATGTATAAGCAGAGATTTGTTCAAATTGCAAGCTAAATGTATCTGCTTTTCAAAAATTTCCTTTTGGGTCTCTGGCTCAGAGAAATCACGTTGATAATCTAAGCCACATGGTCCGATAGCGACGCATTCCTGTGAAGCCGCAATATGCTCGAACTCGAACCAGGTGTTCGGTTCCTCGACAATCGATTTGGAATCGTGTGGATGTATGCCAGCAGTCGAATAAATTATATCGGGATAAATTCGTGATAGACGAAGCGCTTCTTTGCTAGATTTTACCGATGTGCCTGGAACCATTATTTTCTGAACTCCTGTGGAAATATTTAATTTTGAATGAGTATTGAAAATTATAAAAATCAGCTATTGCATTAAGTCATATGGGAATTAAATATATGTATGTACATATGTACAATAACTATGTAGGTACCTACATATCTACGTATAACAACTTTGACTTCTCACAGATCTTTGAGGTCAGATAGGGTTACATATTTTTGAACAATTACTTATTTACATATTTGTGCATATAAATGGGTGTGTTACTATGGTATATATAGAGTAGGTATACATATGTACATAGGTGCATACAGATATGACTAAGAGTAGTCTTCGAATGACAGGGCGCAACATTCTTATCTAAGAAAAACGCAAAAGATCTTCTTGAAAACACAACTATACGCTAATTTATATGCGTATACATAAATAAATTACATATACATAAATGTACGGTCAAGTATGTACGCCAACTTTGTGGCAATATCATTATACCTTACCCGCATCCTTTGCTCGTTGTATTACTGATTCCAGATCACGGCTATATTTTTTGTTTGTTAGATTCGCACCCGCATCTATCACTATGAGATTTTCGAAGCAGTGCTTCATATCCACTAAATTCATATCCACACCGATATCCAAGGCACCAGTAGTGTCGACTGGAATCGTCACACCGGCGCCAGCGGCGGCAGAAGAGGCTGTGCCAGCTACAGAGGATTGTGCCATGTCGTTTTTGTCGGTTATTTGTGTATTGTTTCACAACTTGAAGAATACGTTTTTGTTATCTGTGAATTGAGTGTCGCTTGCACGTTGACTTGACGAAAATAGGTATGACGAAATAACAAATTGTATTAATACAACACACAGTGAAAATGTTCAAATGCACATTAATTACGATGAATATCTTGCGAACGTTTTGCAAAACAATGGTTAACGTCGTAGACGAGAAGTGTTTTCGTAATAAATACGATATTAGCAATCAGCTTAGAAATATAGTGCACCTTTAAAAATGTTAATTTTGTATGGAAATATAAAAGTTAAAATGATTTAGAAAATCCCTACGACTGCTGGCAGCTGGCGGCCAAGAAAATTAGTAAAATACCAGTGATAGTGTTGCCAAGTACCAAGGTAATTTATTTCAAAACTGAGACAACTCGAAGTGGAATGCACAGTGTGGTCGGAGAAGCAAACCAGAAAATTATGATGAAGAGAAAAACGGAAAAATATAAGATCAACTAAACCTAACGAAAGTGAAATATAAATTATGTATGCATATAAGAAACCGAAAAAATAATAGTTAAATACATGATAAAAATATAGTAAGGTAGAACCGCTGAGAGTCACTTTTAAAATTCTTGACGTTTCCAAACAATTTAATTTTTAAATTTTCTCACAAACTCACACACACATTTTCATTTTCAATCTCAAGCAACAACAATTTCGAACAATTTCATTTTTTTATTTTCACATTTATATGATTTTAAAATGTTGGCAAACTTCAAAAAAAAATCATGGCCGACAAATTGAGAGAACGGTTATACCTTGCTATGTTTTTATCATGGTTAAATATACATATCTATGGGGTGACAAATGTGTAAATCAATGGCCTTATTAATAAAAAAATAGAATAGGTTTAAAAAGCTTTATAAAATTATATTTTCATAAAAATTTTCGATTTACAAAGCAGTTAAGGACCTTTTTATTATTGAATTACACATGTTTAAATACTTCTTTATATTTCATGAAATTAGATGCTTTGACAAGTAGAAAGAAAAAAATTAAGACACGCAAAAATATTTTCCGGAATTTTCAGGGATTTATACCGAATTTCATAATTTGTAAGGAATTACATCATATAGCTTTAAAGACAACTGACGTACTCACCCGGATTTATATCTGGCCAAGGCTTGTTACTCCACCATCACTCCGCAAAAACTCTGTGGAATTTGTATACTGTTACACCAACAACGACGACGGCCCATTCCCACGACAGCCGGTTCTACGTACCGGAATGACTCGGGTTTTACCCGACCAAAGGCTGTTGTTTCGGCGATCTAACCCCGTTTAGGTCGGCGAAGTATCTCAGAAGTTGCTCGCCCATAGGGCTACATTCGCTACGTATTCTTCTACTCAGGGCTGGCATCGAGTCAAACCCAGGGCCAGAAATCTACACCTGCTGTGTATGCCAGAGACGACTACTCCACCCCCTGCTGCTCAAACAGAGCAGCCTCCACGGCTAACCTTAGTCTATCTGAGCAGCCTCACACAGTCACCACAGCACAACAACATAATAACACCACAGACCATACCACATCCACGACAAACCACAGAATACACATAACCGCACCCATACCCACCCGCCGACGCCAACAACTCCTGGTTCCTCCTACAATCTGCACGGTATGTCACACCAGGATATTCTGTAATGTGACATCAGTCAAGTGCAATACCTGCCAGGCTGGTGCCACTTTAGGGCATGCTCAGGTCTGCGCACCACGCTAGATTGGACGAGGAATTTCGAGGGCCCGTGTTGCGCTGCTCGGTCGCAGACCTCAACTGCGACGCCTCCCGCCACCACCACATGGCGGCAACCACCTCAGCAGCGCACACAGCCAACGGCGTCACGACCACACACATCCCTCACACCCCGCATCACCACACGTCTCCCGAACCACATGAAGCTCCTTCAATTTAACTGTAACGGGCTTCAGAGCAAGATCGAGGTTATAACCGTCTTCATGGGAAGTCATGGCATATTGATAGCTGCGGTCCGAGAGACGAAGTTGCACAGCAAATCAACACTGTTGAATTGTGCCGGGTACAACGTGCACCGTCGAGATCGCGAGCCGGATAATGGTGGTGGCTTAGCGTTCATCACGCACCACACCGTGCAGTATCGTCTTATCGAAGCAGACATCGACCGCAGGGATACCACCCTAGAATGTCAGGACATTGCTATCCGGTCAGGCGATGTTGAGCTCGAAATATTTAACGTTTATATACCCCCTGTCACCTGCTTCCCGGCAGGATATCACCCTGACATAGGTGCGCTCCTCAGAGGTGAAAACCGTATGGTAGTAGGCGGCTTTAATGCGCACTACGATCTTTGGTACTCAAGCCTGTCAAACGATAGTAGGGGAACTGACTTGGCTGAGCAGATAGACGATTCGACATTCTGCACAATGAACGACGACGCACCCACCAGGATTATGGGCAGCTGCTGCAGCTCGCCAGGCATAACAATAGTCAGCGCTGGTCTGATAAACAGCATATCATGGCGACTTATGCTGACTTTGGCATCAGACCATCTGCCCATAGTCATCTCGATCGATAAACCAACCGACTTTGCTTCCGCGGGGCACCGAACAAGTATCAACTTTTCCAAAGCTGATTGGAAAGGCTTCGCCGAATTTACCGAAAGCACCTTCGCTGCTCTCCCAACACCAACCGACGTCCACCTTCGTCAACGTAAGTTGCGCAGGGCTGTCACCGCTGCTGCAGCTCGCTTCATACCGGCAGGATGTATTACGGACCCACGTCCAAATTTCCCTGATGAAACGGCTGTTCTAGCCGATGAGCGTGATAGCCTTCGTCAGGCCGATCCCGGAGATCCCCGTATCAGGGACCTCAACGCGGAGATTCGGCAACTAGTAAACGTACATAAGCGGAAGAAGTGGGAAGAGCATCTGAAGACCTGTAACGTCACTGTCCAATCCAACGAAACACAACGACCGAGTCGAAATTTCGTTCGGCGACCATGCTTCGTCGGACCCGGAGCGATGCGCGAGCTATTTTAGCCGGCAGTTCATACTGCATCCACCGGTGGACAAAGCCAAGCGTCGAGTGACCAGGAGGCATAGGAGATTCTTATCGACCGATAACACTCCTTTCCGCGTTAGCGAAGACACTCGAGGCCTTGTTGCTCCCGTATTTCACAAACCACTTGACCCCAGCGAAGTATCAGCATGGTTTTCGTAAAGTGCACAGTACAACAACAGCACTTAACGCCATAAACACTCAGATAACTCGTGGCCTTAACCGAAACCGTCCCTCTGAGAGATCGATTCTAGTAGCGCTGGACTTGCCAAAGGCGTTTGACACCGTCTGCCATTCCACGCTACTAGAAGATATAGAGGCTTCCTCTCTCCCACAGAGGCTCAAACGGTGGTCGGCAAATTATCTGAGTGGTCGACACTCGTCGGTAATGTTTAGAGACAAATCGAGTAAACTTAGGAAAATAAAACAGGGGGTTCCACAGGGTGGTGTCCTTACTGTTTAACTTCTACATTTCAAAGCTCCCTCAACCACCAGAGGGAGTCTTGATTGTCTCTTACGCCGACGATTGCTCGATCATGGCGACTGGTGAATAATCCCAAAATACTCGGAGTAACATTCGACAGCCTGCTCTCCTTCTCTGCACACGCAACCGCTATTGTCAATAAAGTACAGAGCCGCAACAAGGTCCTCAAGTCGTTAGCCGGCAGTACTTGGGGCAAAGACAAAGAAACGTTGCTGGCAACATACAAGGCAATAGGCCGTCTCAGTTGGCACAGAAAAGAAATGACTGGCGTGCTGTTTGGACTCGGCCAAAATCGCTCTTAAAAAGAAATAAGATTATTGCGGAATTTTGGAAAATGGGCGTGGTATAACTATATAACGTTATCATACCCCGCTTACCATGTAACGGTAGTTTTCGGAAAAGTAAAAAAAAAACCTTATGTAATACGTGTGCCGGGTATTTAATGTTCGGCTTCGTTCGAACATAGACTTTTTTACTTGTTTTAGATTAAATCCGGTTATGACGATCTATCTAAGTCCAACCGAACGTGTTACACTGAGAAAAGAGTTCAGCTAAGTCAACGAAATATGTTTCTATCCACGCATGATTTAACCAAATCAAAGTTTTTTGGTTATAGTTACCAAGAAATATATATATGTATATATATATATATATGTATATATATATATATATATATATATATATATATAGTTGCAATAGAAATATATTTCGCTGACTTTTTTTCTAAATGAATGCACAAATCAGGGTGGAAAAGTGCGTTGCACAAACTTGGAAGTTTCTTGCAGATAAAATACTGATCGAGATATTCTAAAGGTCAGTTTTTCAGTGCCAGTTACTAGCAAGCTAAGTTTAAATCACTACCGTGCACTGAAAAACTGGCCCTAAGGAGCTGCTAATTGGGTCTCAATCGTCAAAAAAAAAAGCCAATATTGCAACATTTCAAATATTTTTGATTTATTTGACTATTTTTCTATTAAGTTTGATGTACTATGTATGCAGTATTTTGTAATATCTAACGATGATAATTTCTTGAATACAGTATGGCAATAAAATCGGTTATTTGTTTTAATATTGTACGTATATTTTTATGTTTATGCTTCATGCCTGCTTTGCCTTGACAATTACACATCTGTTGCAGTACTACATACATACATACAAAAGTAAACTGCATTTATGTGTGTATTAATCTTTTGATTCTTTTGCTATTTACTAAGTACTAAAATATGAGCGCAAACTTAAAATTTTGTTTTCTGACAAAGCAAATAACAAATCTCTTTCATTTTAAATACTATTCAATTTAAATAAGTATATGTATGTATACGCATATTTGAGTTTATGTAAAAGTCTATTAATGTATGCATTGCATCTGTAAATGATTATAAATTATAAATTTGTTCTCTATTATTGACTCAGGCGTGCATTCGGAAATATGTATGTATTTCAACAAATATTTCTTAGTGTAAGTACTCAGTGCAAAGTTTCATTTATTCTCACACATACCATTTATGTATGTATATGTATATGTGGCATTTATAAAAAATGTATATTTTTATCTTAGTTTTGTATGCGTTTCTTTTGTTTAGGTACATTTTTAAAATGTAATACTTCTTTGAATGTGTTCTTTGAGGGTAATGATTCGTCATGTACTTTGATCGACAGTAAATATTTGCTTTAGGAAAATCTACTTTTCAAATGTCAGCTGATAAATTTTTGATTCAATGAATGGTTTCGCAGAGCATGCTCGCAATCTCGGGTATACAATGTAAACGAATAATTATAATTAAGTATTTAACTATAGTATACTTAGTTAACAGCTATTAGTTAATACTTTTGAGTATTAAGTA